CCGGGCCGCCCGAGCCTGAAAAAATTCAGGCTTCGGGCGGCCCGCCGACCCGAAGTTTCAGCACTACGTGTGATCACAATACGTTGTAGAACTCACTCCTAAAAGGCCATACTACCCATAACAGTTGGTTTTGACGGAAATCCAGCCAGTACTATAATTACTTATTTCCCTTAAAATCCAAAAATCCAAACTTTTAAGAGACAATTATAATATATTTTCCATGCACCATAAATATAATTAAGCCATCTGTTTCAGGATCTTCATTACGATCTAAAATAGTCTATAGCTCTTAGTTATCTATGTACCCTTTATGATTGGGAATGGGTTGTGATAATACGTCATCTGCCTCCTTAGATTCTTGCCAAGCAACTTCATTATCTAACCAACTTCATTTAACTTCATTATCATCTTCGTCAATATTTCAAATTACTCGTAGGAAATTTAAATTGCTATTTCCTGGTAAAAATTTGTCGTCTTATTTTAACAGAATGTCTCCATCAAAATTATTATTATCTTAATCTTAATTTAATAGAATCTCTACTTAGAGGAACAAAATTTTCTAATTCTAATTTAGCATTATGACACATAGAACAACTCGATATTTCTCACAATCGAATTTAAATATGACCGCCTCCTTATAAAATTAAGCATATAATCACTCTAAGAGTAGTGGCGTTATAAACACTATTTTGTACTTAATTTAATTAAGGTAACTATAATTTATGAGGAAAACATAACGAAAGATTTACGAGAGATGTTTCTGCCTAAATATTTTAGAAATTCTTCTTCTACTATTATTTTTCTCTTTCTCTCTAGCTCTCTCCCTCTAACTTCCACACTCTAAGTGGTGGGTATGAACATGGAATGCAAATGACCCAAGTCTTCACCTATTTATAGGTTACCATTTTTAATTTCCACTTTGCTTTCGCTTGATCCTAGCCATCCATTTTATTTTATTTACATAATAAATCATCATAATTCCTTAAAAATCCAAGTATCAACATATTTAATCTTACAATGCGAAGTTCCTAAGTGGTAAATTTGAACATTTCTTCTTTCTATGTCGATCAAAATCAATATAATTTAACCTATTTTGCAGTACTTTCTTATACCGAAACAATCAAAAAGTGACCGTTATGTCCCTTGAAAGGTTTGATTTTATGGCAGGTGTTACAAAGAGTGTTATAACACTTTTAGTAACACTGGTGATTAATAGATATTTCTAGATTCAGCAACAAATAACTAAACGTGTAAAAAATAATGTTGAAAAAAATAAAGAACACTAGAAAATAGTATCGCTATTCGGTACACGCACTTACATCTGCGGGCCATGCCCAGACAGTGAATAATCCACTAAGATTAAAAGATTACAAAACACCGATCGGTCTTACATACTCAATGACTCCTCCTTGATGATGTCATCATTGTGTAGAATTTTTTTAGAGACATTGTTCAGCGAGCACTACTTGCCTTTGAAGGCTTTCTCTTGAAAGCAATACATCCTCCTCCAGAAGAACAAACTTTTAGCATTCACCTTTCAAAGGCATCAAACGCAGACTTTTTTTGCAGATTGTTTCTTTCAAAACTCATACACGTTCATGGCAGATTTTTTCATAATAATACACACTCCCAAAAAGGTCAACTGCTCTATTTTCTCACAACAATAAACCGCCCCTAGCCAAGCAAATTCTCACCAAAAATTCTTTCCATACACAGAGCCAATCGATTAGCCAACAAAGTCAACCATAGCAGCTAGAATCACAAGACAATCAAATCTCTGAAAATGTATTCCCAAAAGCTACTTACCTTCTATAAAAGAAATCATTCTAAATCTGATACAAATAACCAAAAATAAAATCTTCATAGCTGCCCACAACGCCAATAGTAATTGTACCTGTTTTTGAATTTTTTACAACCTTTTCCAATAAATTGCCAATAAATTGCCAACTAACAAACGTCCTAACATCCCTATAGAATTTTTTTTCAGTTTCGAGCTTATATCCTTAAAGATGATCACATTTAGGTTCTTCTTAGGTATAGCGAAATCTAATGTTTTCTTTTTTATTTTCTTCTGTAGCCTTTAGAATTTTAAGGTTTTAGTCCGTTTGTTCTTGTAATTTCTCAGCTATTTATCATAAGGATAGAATTGTCTTACTTTATGGACATCGAAAATCATGCTAATATATTCTAAGGCACATGGACTAATTATAAATATATTCTATTATATCTATCTATTATCAAATAAGCGGTGTGTTACAAAAAGAACCAAACCATTAAAATTTTTGAATTATTTGGTCGTTTTAGACTACTAGTATATATATATATATATATATATATATATATTTGGTTGCTGTTCTAAAACCGAGCAAATCAATAAAAAAAAAAGGATACAAAATGCATAAATGAAAATTTCATACATTTTGATCCATTTTTCTTAACATCATTTCTATTAGTTACTATAATAGTTTCCCAATAGTACAATCTACCCTATAACACGAAATAATAGTGGATAATGTCTTCAGGGGAGGAATACGTTATAATGTCTGAATGTTGTTACATTGGAGTTAAATAACAAATTTTGAAATAATATGAAAAACTTTGCATGTTTTTCCAATGTCAAATTTTTTTCAAGCTTATGCCAAACCTGCCCTAAACTAAACCATCCACACTAATAATAAGTGGTTTGATTGTATTTGATTTATTTTTATTTTTTTCAATATTAACGGGTCAAAATAATTATTTTTTATTTGATCGGTAATTTTTATTTAAAAAAAAGCGATTAAACCAGCTGCAAATACTCTAAACCCGATTTAGATTCTCTGTCCAATGGCTAGAAATATAGGGCTTGTTCTTTTGGAGTTTAACTTGAGTATAATTCTTGAGTTGAATTTGAGTTATAACTTGAGTTGAACTTGTAACTTGAGTTTGTGTTTGGTTGTGTACATTTGAGTTATGGTTTGAGATAAGAATCTTTTTGAGTTTGTGTTTGAGTGAGTCAAAACTTGAATATGTATTTAGATAGTATTTTAATAAAAACTCAATGCTAATGAAAAATTTTAATATGGTATATGGGTCGGGTTTTATTCGTCTTTTCGTTGTCAACGCATAGAAAAAAAATCATCTCAATCAGAATTAAAACGAAAAAGTTATAGCATTTTTAAGAATAGAAAAAATACTGTTCATTAATTTGAGTTCGAGTTTCTGAACTCGAGTTGAAGGGGAAACTTGAACTCGAGTTTAAACTTAAAAGAACATGAACTCAAATAAAGTTGTAACTCGAGTTGCATTTTTTTGAGTTTTTCACTCAAAAGAACAAGGGCTTGTTCTTTTGAGTAAAAAACTCAAAAAAAGACGAATAAAACCCGACCCATATACCATATTAAAATTTTTCATTAGCATTGAGTTTTTATTAAAATACTATCTAAATACATATTCAAGTTTTGACTCACTCAAACACAAACTCAAAAAGATTCTTATCTCAAACCATAACTCAAATGTATACAACCAAACACAAACTCAAGTTACAAGTTCAACTCAAGTTATAACTCAAATTCAACTCAAGAATCATACTCAAGTTAAACTCTAAAACCCCAAGTTGTTTGAAATTTGAATAGTACCAACCGAAAAATGGGTGATGGAGACCACTGGCAATTTCGTAGTTCAAAAGCGCCCTCGATTTCTTAACTGGACGATGTTAGTACAACCTTTGTTCAATTCTTTGACATTTTAAAAATCTCATTTCAATATAATTAATGGCGCTACAAAATATTTAACTTGTGATAAATGTGTTGATTTTTAGAACTAATCAAGCAGATTAATATACTAGATTCTCAGGAGACTATTGGTGATCTATGTTGAAAAGGAAATATAATATGATAGATTATCGATGTTAACCTAGTAGATTACTTCAAGGACCAATCAAAACGACTGGTCGCTAGTAAGGGCTGGTGGTTACTGCTGATTTGGTAGATTACCAATAAGAATTTACTAGACTACTCGCAAGAAAACGTCAAGAACAATTGGGGAAAATTAAATTTTGTTGACAACGATTGGTCCCTTCCCTTTGGTGTAGCATAAATCTAAGTCTTTTTTAGTGTGACAAAATTCTTAACATGGCTCATTCTTGTGGGATTCCTTTTAAGTTTACTTATTTGTATCAAGCAGAATCCAAAGAACACATGTAGTATGTGGATATATATATATATATATATATTTGTGTTAACGTTTTTCCCCATCTATGTATTGTTTCGCCTGGGTGATAAGAAAAGTAACTTTGATTGTACAAATAAAGCTTATATATCCAAAATCCAAATACACAAGTCATTTCAAAAAAAAATAATATAATAAAATGTTGTAATTTCTCTTTTGTGCATAATTCAACAACCAAAATGCTCAAGCGATTTTATTGGAACATGTTTAGCTTGAGCGAATTCTTTCATTCACTCGAGAAATAAATTGCAAGTTTAATTCCCTTGTCGTTTTTATTTTCCATCTACTTCTTGTCATTTGATTAATTTGTCTTTTGGATATATCTCTTCGTCCTCTTGATTGCGGAGATACCCCTGCTTTTTTATGAGCTATGCATTTCTTTCCATTAAACAATTATATCAACATTTTGGAAGATCGCTTGGAGGTGGTATAAGCGATTCATTTGGTCCTTTCCCGTTGTCCACCAAGAATGCCATCTTAAGCCCCCATGTTGTGTGCACTTCCAAATGGCAATGCATGAACCAAACTCCTGGTCAACGATATCAAAATTAAACTGTTAGTGGATTAAAATAATAAATATAAAACTATTAAAAATAAAAAATAAACTGATAATTTCAATTTTGGAGTTAAAAAATTTAATAAAATATCTATTAACCTTGGCTTTTAGATTTTTATAAAGACAAAGAGTTAATTGAGCAATGAAAATCAAACGATTGAATTAATTACATGTGAAAATTTAACAGAGGTTAATAAAAATCTTATAATTAATATAAACAACGCGTTGTAACTGTTTTTTACAGCCAGCTCGGACAGAATTATTAAAAAAACAAAAAAGAACATGAACTTATAAATTTATAATTACCTGGATTATCTGCGAGGAACCTAATAGCAGTCCATCCACCAGAAGGCACACCAACAGTGTTTCTCTCAACAGGGTCAACAAGATTGAAGCTCTTTTGATCCTTTTTCGGATTGTAATTCCCAGTTCCCCTTCCGACCACGAAGAAATTGAATCCGTGGAGATGGACGGGGTGGTTTTCGGGTGCTATAATCCCTGTGTCCTGCAAAACCAGCTGAACCGTCTCGTTGTATTTGATCCTGTAAAGTTTCGTACCATTCGTGGTCGCCAGACTCGCCGGCGGAGTCCCGGAGTAGTTGAAAACGTTAGGCGGGTTCGCCGGAAAATCGGTGGTGAAAACTCCTTTTGTTTTGAAGTAATGCGCCTGGAGGAGAGCCGTCGTGGGCATGACGAAAGTGACGTTGTTGATGCTCGCCACGACTCGGCTTCCGTTTCCGGCCTTGCACGTCGGACACGGGTTGATTCCGAGGCTGACGGTGAAGAACAAGTTGTGGTCAACCGACAGCGGGACTTTTGCGGGGAAGGTGTTTGAGTTGAGGCTTTTGAGGCCGTTGGTGAACTTGTTGGCCACTTGGGTGGCGTTCTGCGGCGGCGGGACGGTTAGTGTTGTTGCGGCGTTGGCGAGGGTGCCGGCGTAGTGGAGAGTGGCAGTGGCGGTGGCGTTGTCGACCGCAATCGGTGCGTCCATGAAGGGGGAGGCGGCAACTAGGTACTTGCCGGAGTTCTGGTCGGCGGTGATTAGGGCGTTGGTGGTTTGGCCCGGGGCGATGACGATTGTGTCGATGGAGAAGGGTTTGACGTAGGTGGCGTCGACTTCGACGACGGTGAGTTTGTGACCGGCGATCTTGAAGAAGAGCTCTTCATTGAGCGCAGCGTTGATTATGCGTAGGAGGTAGGTCTTGCCGGTTTGGACAGGCAATGTGAAGCCGCCTGCATGCACCCAAGTTAGAATGCCAACATTTTTTTTTTTTTTTTTTTTTTTTTTATAATAATTATCCCAAGGAAATGTATCTATAAATTCATTATGTCACATATGGCAACAATGGTAAATTCTACCATGGTGTCTTAACAATACTATTGTTGGACTTAAAAGCCAATCTTTATTTCTTTAATGGCCTCTGTGTCAAGAAGAACTTACTTTTTGGTCTTTTAAGATAATTGGTACTCAACACAAGTGGGCCATTTAGCACTTTTTCACCCGCAATTCGGATACATTAAATTTTATGTTAATAAATAAGATTTTAAAGGGGGTAACTTAATTGGGATGTTTTGTTTTGCCTAGTTGTTCTTTTTCCCCCTTTATTAAAAAATTTATCAATAAATAAATTACTAACCTAGAAACAATTTATTAATTAAAAATCATTTTGAATTTGACTTTCAAAAATCGTTAATTGATTTTTGGTGAAGTATTGGTTGATATTCATGAATCATTGTTTAATTATTCATCGATTTACAAAACAAAAGAAATACTAACCTTCTGAAGTACAATTTGAGACAGGACCCGGACGGCCGTTTATGGTGTGAGCATCGGAGACGTTTGGTGCCAAACCTGATTTCATTGCTTCGTTGATGACGTTTTCAGTGTCTGATTTCCACCACTCAGCTGCAGTAGATGTCATAGATTAGTTAGTTAGTAAGTCCCATGTTGTACGTTTTCATGAGTCAATAATTACGGCCAATTTAATAATTAATTAATTATGATAATCATTATTAATCTGATTCCTTGGCCTAACAGCGGTCAATTTACACATTTTTTTATGTGTGCTTCATATAAGAAAACAAAATTAATATATAATATATGGTAAGATGGATCGTTATTGATCACCTAATACAACGACAACTTCCTTATGGGGTGCAGGAAACGGATAAGGCACGCCAAGCTTAGGCAGGATTACAAGGGCGCCGTGAATTGTTGCCCTGAGCCAGAGAATGTGAGCATGCCAAAGCAGGGTTCCACGTTGGCCAGTGATGGTGAAGTTGTACACATAACTTTGACCTGGTGGGATTGGGCACTGGGTTATGTATGCCGGCCCGTCCGCCCACCCGGTCCGGAGTTGCCGAACTCCGTGCCTGAGTTTCAAATAAATAAATAAATAAATCTGTAGTTTTTAATAAATGCAAAGAGAGACAAAATAAGTCAGTTCAATCTGAATGGCAGTTAATAAACATTTGAGCCGATAGTCTAAAAATGGTCTTTAACACTTTTTAAAATACTCAAAGATACATTTCATCTACCAAACTATTTGTGAGTAAGCACAATACTGCTAGCTTAATTACTACCTTGATTAGAATTTAATATGTAATTTGATGCTAGCTTTATTACTGGCATATGAACATAAGCAATGCACATATGATGTTTTTTTTTAGTACCTAATAAAGTGTGTTTCTTTTCATATAATCAGATTAGCCTTACCAGTGGATTGTAACGTTGTATTTGACGCGGTTAACGACTTTTACAAGAACAGTGTCGTCTTCTCTGGCGTAGAGAGTGGGACCTGGGAACTTGCCGTTAATGGTGACAATTGGCTTGCTTGAACATAGTCTGGTAGTATTTGTCGTTACCACCTGTACGTACGTTAGCCAGATGATCATGGAACAAAAGTTAAATTAGCTAATGGTTTGATATAATATATATATATATATATATTACTAATGGACTATGATTTGATATGTTAGTAATCTTGAAACATTGAGCTGATTCTTCAAATTTTCAACTTTTCCACTATTAGTTAATTTATGTATAATGTATTTTCAACTTTTTAATTTAACATTATGATTTAAGGTTTCATCTGAAGTTTCCCCAGCTCTTAGATCGTATATATTACGACTCGAAATGATTATCATCTATTAAAGTTTCTGAGAATTTCCAAGATGTGTCACATGTAACATGCAAAAGTTGAAGAAATTATTTAATGATTACATATAATGATACAAATATATATTCAACACGTTTTCAAGTAATAGAACCATACTCATTGTGGCCACCATCAATAACATTTTGGAGTACACTTTTCTTTTTCAAATAAAAGCTCTCAAGATGAAAGAACCTTTAAAGATTAATAATACTTACTTTTAACCCGTTTAATATCCTAGGAAAACATTGATTGATTAATCTAGGCCCAAACGAAAAATGAAAAAAAAAAAAAAAAAAGTAACTACCCAATTATAATTCCTTATTAGACCAAAGTTTGAACATATCATAAATATATAACATTAATATTTTAACTTACATTGAACTTGTAGTTCCGGACTCTGCACTCAACAAAAGCCGGAGAAAAGCATATTGCCACAACAATCAAAAAAAGGCGAACCCAAGAGTCCATTTCTGATCTCTTGAGTCCTTTCTCTCTCTCTCTCACTCTCTCTCTCTCTCTCTCTCTCTTTTTCTTTTCTCTCTCTCTCTCTCTCTCTCTCTCTCTCTCTCTCTCTCTCTCTCTCTCTCCACTACAACTTTTCTTTTGCTAATTGTATTTTGCTTTTTGGCTTGTTACATTCATGTAATGACTAGCCAGCGAACCCTTTTAAAGTGTGACAAGGCCATTGCTGCCACGTCGTTTTTCTTTGGTTAGGTGGATGACGATATTCTTGAGTTACAAGGTTTCTTCACATACAACTAAGATCAAATTTTTGCTCTTTAGTTTCTTACATGTTACATAAAGTAGTTTTTGCAATATCGACCAGATAAAGTAGGTTTTAGTTGTAATTAAGATATATTTTTAATTAAAGAGTTTGCAAGTTACACCCCTTATTCGGCTATCTGGTGGGTTGATTTCTGCTAAAACTTTCAATCATTATAATTGCCCTTTTACTTATTGATGGATTAACTAGTGTTTATTCATCTAATTATTGAGAGAATTTGTGCCGTCAACTCAGTCTGGTACAATTGGTACGAGACAAAAAGGTCATTTTATTATATCTGATGATATATTGAGATCTTTCTTTGTTTCTTTTGTATATCTATAGGAAGAATAAATTATAACGCAATACTAGAAATGCATATTTTCACAGTCTTAATTGACAAATAGGTTCCTATGAATTAATAACAAAATTGTTTATTTTCGGATAAACTTACAAGTATTAAAATAGGTTAGCATTAATGGATTAAACTCTGAAAAAACACATTCTAAATGTTTTAAGTCGTTTACTAAATGCAGAAATTAGCACTCAGCAGAAGTACATTTTACATCTAAATTGCTTTGGTTTTAGCCTATGTAAAATTCAATGCATGGTTTTGTACATTCTCAACGTTCTAGAATGGGTGGATTTAAATAGTTGAGGAGTCAAACATCAAAAAATTAGAAGCAACTAACGGTTTTCCCATTGGCTCTTTAGTAATTTATGTTTTTGTTTGGTTATTAATTTTTTTGATATTCTTCCTCTCTTAATTAGCTAGCTAGAGTTGGGTGTAGTTAGCTGATGCATTATAATAGAGTATGAGGTTGGTAATGTATATTTTTTGATAGTTTGAATAACGTCATGAACACCTTGGAGAATAAGAGTGGAAAGGAAATAAAACCACATTTTAGGATGCTTAGAAAATTAACAAAAATAATTAACGGTTGAGAAATGGCTTTCGGATCATGTTCAGATAGCAACCGAACAGATCATGGACGTGATAATTTGTCTAAAAGCCAATTTGGACCAACAGCCAGTGACCTAGTTCCAAACTCACGAACCTTCTAATCTTCTTCTTTTTTTACTCTTTTATGTATGTTCCTCCTTGAACTCTCTTTCTATCCCCCCCAAAAACTTCTTCCTTGTTTACTAATATATTTAGTTTATATATTTGTCGTATTCTTTATCTACTAGTGCATATATAAACACTGCTCTTTTTTAGAAGGCCTATTTTAAATACTTATGGATTACATATAAAACTTTATATCCAAGACTATACCTGGGTAAATTCATATATATATATACACGCGCAATCTTTTAAGGTATGTTTGGTTTATAAGTTCATACCAGATAATTTGAACAAGAATTCAAATGTTTCTTAGAGAAACACGGTTTGAACCAGGGTTCAAACTCCTAAACCAAACAACTTAATTTTTAATGATTACGTTTACATCGGTAGTTATCCATATACATAATGTTAGGATGATTACAAAACCGGCGATGATTAATTTTAGCTTTTTTTTTTTTTTCACCAATAGTATTCTATTTTTAAAATTTACAAATTGATCCTTTTAGGTTTCATTTGTTTTTACTTTTGGTTTGTTTTATTCGTTTGTTTTTATTTATTTTTGCAAATCCATCCACTCTTAATTAACTGTTGGTGCACGGGGGTAACTCTATACCAAAACAAGTTGAATAAATGCATTCAAACAGATTCGAAACAACACTGTTTTGGGAGAATGGCACGGAGATCTCATTGTAGGGAGGTTTTGGCGCGCCGAAAGGTTTTTTGCCCCAGTTGCATGACACATGAACAATATTCCGTCCACAAATTTTAAGGGAAAGAGGAAATTTGTTATGCCTTAAGAGCTTGTGGGACGAATAAAACGACGGAGGCAGGATTTTTATTTAGTGAGGGCTTAAATTTTTATCTGAATATTTGTTTTAAGATAAATTGACTTTTGTAATTTTAGAGGGGTTATATTTGATTTAATGTAAATTTACGTAGATTCGAGTAGGAGTAAAATTAAAATTTTTAATTATTGTGGGGACTAAATAGAATATATAAATATTTGAGGGAGTGATTAAATAGTTTTTCTCAATTGTTGTGGGTGCTATTTGTTAAAATAACAAGGATATAGGTAAATATTTTCAAGAATACTTATAAAAATAATGATACTTATAAAAATAAAATTTGTTCAAATATATAATCCACAATTCATTTATTGTTTCTGGAATTCAAAAAATTTATATTTAGACGCTTTTCTTATTGAGATTTAGATCAGCGGGATTTAAAAAAAAAAAAAATCATTTTCACTTTCTTTTATTTTATGGTGCTGAGAAGCAAAATTCATCTACTTATTTGTAGATCTCAAGTCCTTTTTTGTGTGTTTATTTTTCACCTCTCTACTGTTTTAAGTGGCATGAGGTCGATTTTGTTTCACTTTCAAATGAATTGAGCCCTACCAACAAATGCGTGTTTACAAAGAAGTCCACCAAGAAAGTAAGAACAAAAAACCAAATAGAACAAAACAAAATTGCAATATATGTTGACCCATTTATACACCTACTCGATAAGCTCAAGATGCTAACCCGGGCCCACCCAAACGAAACTTAAAAAGTAAACGAATAAAAACTCTCGCACTCTCTTTCTGGGTTTCCCTTCTATGTGTCACTAATGAATTAAGCACAAAATATACAACCCATATGTTAATGAACTAATAAGCAGGATTTCTGGACATCCAACAATATGCTTCAATAACAAAGCTGATAACAAAAATTCTTTGATTTTCTATATTTTGTGTCATATGTGTACTTCATTAATTAGAAGTGGCCACAAAAATTAATTAGTCAAATGATGATCATTATAATGTTTGCATAATGAGCATAGCGTCGCTAAACCGTTAGAGTATGTTTGGTAGGAGAAAGATGGAGGGAGGGAAAGGGGTGAAGGGAAAAGTCCAATCTCTTGTTTAGTTAGAGGGAGAAGAGGAGGGACGTGCTCTCCTTCATAACCCACCAAATTGAATCCTTCTATTGATGGAAGGATTCAAACGATCCATCCACTTTTAACTTTAAAAGACTATTTTATCTTTTGATTAAATTATTAACAAAAAGTTTAAATTGACAATCTAGTAATTTAATAAAAAATTGTCATATATCATTTTAACTTCTTGTCTATCCTACCGAACAACAGGAATGATTACTATAATCGTATTCATCCTTTCTACTCTCATCTATCTAACTCTCTCTATCTTTTCTACTCTCCACTCCTCTAACCAAACGGAGCCTTAGTAAAAAAAAAAAAAACATGAATTGACGTCTAATCTCTTGAATTTACAGTAGTACTAGAACACTATAATTACATAAGAGGTACTGACATGTATGCCGTTCCTTAAGTGAAAACGCAACTTTCATCTAAATGTGTTGGGAGGTTTCCATAATTTCCGACATAGAAAATTTTAAGTGGTTCAGTTTGCCGGATCAGGGGCTGGGTTGGAAGATTTAATTGTACATATCTTACTATTCTCCAAGATAGAGTGCACATTTTTCTCCCGAAAAAACAAAAAATTGTAGTTTACATTATCAGGTGCTAAGCGGCAATCAATATTTAGTAGAACTCAGAAAGTTATCAAAATTTATCACTTGGTATAGAAACTTGGCTGCAAATGTACTTAGAATCATTTTTTTTTTTTTTTTTTTTTGAAAAATAGAGTACTTGGTACTGTTAGTCCTTAACTTTGAACACAGTGACATTTTGACAAATTATTTAGTAAACTTTTATTATTCGATAATTAAAAAAATACTAGCAACACTTTTTTTATCATTCTCTTTGTCACTCTTTACATTAATTATTTGATAAGTTGACTCAACTAACCCAATATAATTATTTAAACAGAAAATGAGATATTATGGTCAACGTGTCAAACAGTGAATCAATAGAGCGACAAAGAGAGTGACAGGAAGAGTGTCCCAAGCATTTGTCCTCGCTTGTTTTGAACCCTGCGGTAAAATTGACGAATGACTTGTAAAATTTAATATAGATAATCACATTCTTATCGCATAACTATTGAAAATTCTACATAAATAGTTATAATATAAGCAAAATATGATAGTATTCAACGCGTTTTAATAATAACAAAGTGACAGTTTTACATTTAACACACCTCTTTTTATAAAATTTTAGGTTATTATATGATGTACACATAATTATATTTGTTAAATTATAAAAATACGTCGTGAATTTTATTTTCAGCGACCAAAGTTATCAAAAAAATGAAAGTTTAAAGACTAATATGCTAAAATTAAAAATTCGGTGATCAAAATGCCACCAACCTTAAAGTTCAAGGATTAACAGTACCAATCACATTTTTAAATAGACGTCTTGAATTCTAATACATAAAGTTGACTGGTCACTGAGCTCATGTTTTGATAATAAGATGTCTTAAATGACATTAAGGTGTAAGGTCATTGTGAACTCGACCCTTATTAAAAATACATTAAAAAGAGAAAAGCATCTGACCTGGCCAATACTTAACAACAAGAATGCTTAAAATTCGGGAATCACAGAATTATCTTGCAGAGGTTTCCTTTAAAAGAGTAAACGAGAGAGAATTATCTAATTTAATTTGTAATTTAATTTGAATGTTTTCTATTTATTTCTTACATGGCTATGAATTAGTATATAAACAGTTTATACATATAACAGAAATTGTGGTAAATAACTTATTTAAGCTAAGAAAATATTTATAGTTCATTA